TAATTATTATTACTTGTGCAAGATACTAAACAGATTTCCACAGCATCTCTAGCATTTTTCATAATAACTTTCTATAAATCTTTCTGATTCATAATTTGGGTTCTTTGGGATGTATTTATAGGCAATGCCTTGATAGAGACAAATAGCCAGATTGAAAATGGCCTGCCCATTCACCTGGTCTGAATGGGGAGTCCCCACATCAAAAGTAACAAGCAGACCCAAGGGTGTGTCACTTCTTTGGGTCTGTCATACCAGACCCAAAGGAATGTTAAACTTCCTTAAAGAGAAAGGTGGGGAGGATCATGAGAAGAAAGAAACTGTTCTCTGCTCTTTCATACATAGATGCCCTCCTCAAAGGCTGCCTATCCTGGAATAAAAAGGTGTTCCAAGTTAGCAGTGAAAAATAGTTCAAACTGAAATGGGGGGAAAGGAGGCTGCGAGGTACACGTGAGTGCCAAGACAGCAAGAGAATAGAAGTGGTTGGAAAACACTCTTCTTCTCACTTCAGCAAAGCCAGCATGTATTTCTGTTCTATTCTCCAAGAACATACAGTGATCATGGCAAAGTTGGAGAACAGAGAAGGGTATCCTTCCATTCCCAATATTTCCTTTTCTATTTCCTCATTTAGTTTTGGTTTGCTAAATTATTCCTTTAAGAACACATTTCAGAAATTGGAGGGATGGTTAGCTAGGGGTGCTGAAACAGCATTAGCAAACAGTTCAGTGCTTTTAGGAACAGTGCTATAGAAGTACTGTAATTGCTCACCATAATGGTATCTCACATTCCACTTACATCTTCTTTCGGTTGCAAGAATAAAGTGTAAAAAAAAAAAAAAAAGGTATATGAACAACAGGATTCTCATATAGCACCTAGCAACGTTTATGTGATCTTTTGCAACCAGATCAGTAAAAAAGAGACAAAACACATCATTGGGCTAACTAGGACTACAAGTTTATGTAAGATTAGCAAGATATGGTACGTAGCAAATATGACTCTGCATAGGAAGCTACTAATATCAGAGCTATCCAGCAGCTGGATTTCCTTATATTAGACATGGCAATAAGTTGGATAGAATTTAATTAATATCTCTTCCCCAATAGTTTGCACAAATAATTCTATGCCCCCAGAAGGAAAACAGTTGTGGCAAAAAGAATAATTTTGCCTAAATACACCACCTGAAGCAAAAAGAGCTAAGCCAAAGCTCTAGCAAAAGCCACTAGGCCAGAAAAGTATACTTTAGAAAAATAAGTCATACACAAAAAGACCCAGAATTATTTGCATTACTGCAAATAATTGACTATGTTACCCTGTGATTTCATGAGATTGTTCCTCTTCCACAGCTCAGTGAATTTATTTTAGCTTAGCTGCAATATAATGGAAACTGGTGCAAAACATTCTGGATGAAGTATCCTGAGAAGTTCTGATGAATATATAAGGCATGTGTGTTCCCTGACCCAACACCCAGAACTGTATTTGGTCCACTCCTGCTTTAAATGCTATTGATAAATATGCTGCTGAAAAAATGATAGGCAATATGCATTGATAAGATACTGCAAAACAGTTTGTGAATCCAGAAGTGTGGCTTTTTCTAGTGTGGATTTATGGAGAATAAATGTATTATGTATCAACACTTTCTTTGGATACTGAACTGAAATCAGTATGCCTTCATAAATATGTTTATATCAAGCTATTAATGTAAAATACAAATTTTTGCATAGAAATCCATTTGCCATAAATCCATTTACTCTCCTATTTGTTCTGCTTCCCTCACCCATTCAGAATGACCCCTTCATGAGGACTTCTAGGGCTGGATGAAATAACCTTCAGATCGCTGCTATGACAAGGTAAACTTTCACAGATGCCTAGATTCCATTAGTTTCCCTGTCCAGGTATAACCTTTACTTGGGCAATTGTCAGTCTTGACTGAGACTTGGTCAAATTATTCAGACCAGCTTTTATTGAGCTGGCCATCCTGCAGCTTTTTTTTTTTAAACTGTAAGGGAGAAAGAAGAAAACAAACAGAAAGGGAAGGCCTTCAATCACCTCATAATTTGAAAATAACCCAGATCAATTTATTGCAGTATCTATGCAAAGGCCACTGCACTTTACAGATGACAATGCTCATTGAAGATCGTTGAAGCATGTTCAACGTTTGGACTGCCTTTCTCATGTTTGCTTGCTCTTGGTTGCTTGCTCTCTTCTGGATTTTTCTTTAGGCACTGAGCTATTTGGTAAACTTTCCAATGACCTGTTAAAACATTTCCTTAGTGTATCTTTCAATTTACTGTATTAGATATTTTATGTGATTTAACATTTCATGTAATTTATCCCAGTAAAGCCTTTGAAGAGTGGGTTGTAAATCTACATGGTAATTATTAGAACTAATTCTGCCCAAAGCCCAGTAGCTGTATTTTGATACCACCAATCTGTAAGGTTTATCCCGTTCGACTCAGAGAAACTCTCGTGACACGTGTGTTCAGCAAAGAAGTTTACTCAAGTGTAATGTATGTAATTACAGACAAAGCCAGGACTGGGTTGACACATTTTACAATACAATTTATAGTTCCCCGTTCCGTGCTTAGCCCCTGTTGCTTGGTTACAGATTACCCACAGTAATCCCCCCCTTTACTCAAATGGCAGATTCAGTCCAGCTCTTTTGTATTCTTGATTGCTTTCTATCGATGGCGTTGTTGTTATAGTTGTTGGGTCTTTCTGTTGCTCGCAAAGCTGGGAGTTCATTTATAGTTCCCCGTTCCGTGCTTAGCCCCTGTTGCTTGGTTACAGATTACCCACAGTAATCCCCCCCTTTACTCAAATGGCAGATTCAGTCCAGCTCTTTTGTATTCTTGATTGCTTTCTATCGATGGCGTTGTTGTTATAGTTGTTGGGTCTTTCTGTTGCTCGCAAAGCTGGGAGTTCCCAATCATGCGCTGATTGCTTTATCTCTGATCCGCTGTTCTCCCCTTTGACCATCATGGGAAATTGTCACAACTCTGATACAGAAACACATTGCAGTGAAACGGAAGAATTTGGGGAAGCCTTTTCTCCAGTGTCTGTGGGCAAAGCTACACAAGCTGCATTTATAATGCAAAACTGTCTATTTCTAGGCTATCGTGAAGGGAATTTGTGATAAAGGACTCTTCCACTTGTGCAAAAAACTCACAAACTCATCACTATTGCACTTTTTGGCCTCAACTAGTTGAACAAGAGAATATTTCTTGTGGAAAGGGGAAATTATATGGGAGGTAAAATTTTGATATTTTATTGTTATCAAATAAATAAATACTTTTCTGCTTGATTCTGCCAGAAGATTCTTGATGAAGAATGGCTTTTGGATGGTGTCCTGCCTTATATTTGGTAACCAAAGAAACCATGTGCAGACATTCATACAGTATATGGTATCTCAGACACCTACAGTATATGCTACTGTGCTGTGCTTAACTTCAAATGGCTTTATTATGCTGAAGTTATGGAAAGCTGATGGAAGGGTGGTCTCCCAAGGATGCAAACTCTTGAGTCACTCACTTTCCAATTCCTGGACTCAGTGCAATCTTGACCCCACCCCCACCCCCTTTCCTGTAGCTGATCTGTAGTGTCTTGCCAAGAAGCTATTATACAACTCTTTAAAATGTAACTTCAAAATGCACAGCATGAAATAAGATGGGGGAGAGACAGAATACTGATGTATGCCAGTTTCTGCACTCTCTGATGGACTTGTGGTGTTCTCAGGATTTTAGGAGTAAGCAAGGAAGATGGCACGGATAACTTCAAGCCACTTTTAAGACATTAGGAGGTGGAAACTGGTGGTGTAGAAGTGCCTTCTATTTGATAGCTATTCAAAGATAGAGATGAGTAATATTTCAAGTTCAAATTTGCTCATATTCTGTAAGCTCTATTCCCACAAGCCTCCAGCACCATATTTATCTGCAAGAACACCCCTGGGTTCCAAATGTGTCCCATGAGCTTTTTTAGAGAATAAAAATGGTGAGTGGCTCTGTCTTGTGACTGAACCCTACTTTTAATTAGCACCCAGAGACTTACTTAAACAAGCTCGTCTTTTCCTGTTTGTTTCCCAAACTGGCACACCGCACTGCTTCTTTGCTTTGTGTGAGCTGTGAGTTAACAAACTTCCTGCTCTGACCCCAGTTAGACAATTATTTCCTGCTTTTGCCTTAACTAGGCACCCAATACCTGCTAGACCCTTAACAATATAGCTAATCCTTGCTAATATGTAAGCTTCTCCTGCTGATACTAAACTATCCAACTATTTCCTGACTTATGTTCCTGAAAGAAGTGTAAGTAACTTGCGGGGAGGGGGAGTACAGGAGAGAGAAAGAGAGAGAGAAAAGGTTGAAGGGCTATAAAACCTGCCCAACAAAGGCAGCCCTTGTAATCTGTGTGCCATGGCAAACCTTTCCACTGCTATTTCCGCTCAATGCAGCTGAGGTTGGTGGGGTGGGGGGGGGATCTCTCCTACATAAGTATCCAGAATTATTCAATGAAACTTCGTTAACTGCTTTTGTTCCAGTGTCTCTTGTCCATCCCCTCTCTGTTATCTGAACCTGCAGCAACTATACAAGCAGAAATATGTTCAGCACAACCCAGTGCATTGATTGGTAGCTGGCAGAACCCAGAAGCTCATGGAATAAGTAAAAATCCATCCCCCCCCCACTCCCCACGTAATAATAAAAACAATAGAAAGTACAGCCATAGTGTAGTCAGTTGTGACAGAACTAGGGACATACAGCTGGGAGAACCCATCTCTCTTTTGGAAATTGGAGTTTGACTAATGCTGCCTCAAGATAGTATTAATCCTGCTTTTGAGCACAAGTCAAAGAGCACTAAATCTTTTTTTCTTTTTCTTTTAACAGATCTAGCACTCTTTCAAAATATAGCTAAACCCATGGTCAAGCATTATGCAGGCAGATGTCTCACACAGTCTAAGCTAACTAGAGAGGGGATGTGACTAATGGGAACTGGGGGAAATTGGAGGTAGCTATAGAGCTTATGTTGCCTCAGTTGTAAGCAGGACATGAGATGAAGACAATGTGATGGGGCCATGTCTTTTAAAAATGGTAGCCAGACATATTTGTGCCACAGTTAGGATATGAGGATGAGGCAAAGAGAGAAATGGGAAGGTTTTATTACAGTGCTAAGTGTTAATATATACTTTCTTTCCTTTCCTTTTTGACAGATAAAGTAAAAACAGCAGGAAAATTAAGTCAGCCATAAAAGTTGGAGGAAAGGGCAACGAAAAAGCTTCCACAGATATCTCTCTATATGCTCTCTCACAGATCATATTCCAGTGTTAATTCATTTTCAAGTGGAATGGCATCAGGGTCATTCAGTCTGATGCTCAGTATCGATACTTAAAGCCTAATGGATTTTAATACACATGTTGCCCTCTTACAGATGCTTTAAAAAGCTGTGATACCTTGTCTTTCAAAGAAAAATGTGACAGACACAAATACACACCCCTATGCATCACATTGATTTTCCATGTATTCTAATCTCTCATCTTGGTACTCCAAACCCCAGCAAAACCTAGCTTCATATAAAAAGATAAGTTATTTCAGCTTGGGAAAAGGATCAACATAACCCTATATGTTGTGTTGTGATAACTGCACAACCCTATGTGTTGTGAATCAGTCCAAGTCAGGCCAGTGGGAATGAATACACAACCTTATGAGCTGACTTGGACTAATTCCCAGCTTAAATGACTATAGTATTGCAGTCGTAGTCTTTAACAGTCACTTACTGTGCATCAAACACGTGTGGTTCTTTTGAAGATACTACAATGGATTCACAGCAAACAAGTCTTGCAAAAATCAATCCTAATCATATTGATCCCTGTAGGGGAAAAAAATTCAGACCATGTAAAGCCATATCTGAGTGACCCCTTAGAAAGACCAATCCAATTAACAGAAAAGCATATGGGTAAGGTCTCCAGAAATCTTCTTCAGGTCAAATAATATAAAAGCAGGAAGTAAGGAAGAAAGCAGACATTTAAAACATTAGGCTGGATATTTAAACCATGAGATATGTAGTTTCAAGTCAATTCAAATTAGCAAGACTGGCTAGCAACACTGAGTAGAGGTGGGAAAATATATCTATACTGTAATGTCCACTAGGACACTAAGTGAGTTGTACCAGATACTACAGAAAGGAAGGATTTGCTACAGGACTGCTGTTTTTATAATGCACTTATAAGACATATTTCCATGTCTAGTAATACAGTACGCACATTTTCAGAAAGCAAATTCTGTGTGGGAGAACCTTGTCATCAATTCAGGCAGCTGCTGATTGCAAAATGAGATTGTCACAGGGATATTTGCACATTTTCTTTGAATAATTTAAAAGTGAGCTTTTCTTTCCATTTGCTGCTTTGAAAATTACTGTTACTATGTTCCTACATACACGTGAAAGCAAAAATATCTCAAACTGCATCCCAAGTTCTCCCACCCTCTCTAGCCCATTAACACTTGCTTTAATTTTATAGTATAAGCACCTGCCTTCACAATTAAATTTCTGACGTCACTTGGTGGTTGGCTGTAATTCATACTCATTAGTCATTGTTTTAGATTAAATGAATTAATTATACCAAAAATGAGAGAGCTAAACTGTGTTCAGATCAAAACCATGCTAGAATGTGTGTAGAGTGTTTATGCCCTTCTCCTTGCGCTAGACATGCACTGGCTCTTATTCCACAAAAACAATTTAAATTAAGTCAAAGAATCAGTAATGGGACATGGTAGAACAGATGTAATCATATTTTTAGAATTGTTTGCTTGTATAAAGAAAGCTCTAGGAACTGTGCCTTTGTTCCTGAGTTTGAGAGTATTTTCAATCGCTTCACTCCATCCTATCTCATCCCATTAATACACGTACAGAACAAATACAGTGGTACCTTGGGTCACGAACGCTTCTGTTCACGACCAATTCGGGTCACGAACAGCACCGTTCGCAAAATTTTGCCTCCATTCGCGAACGCCGGATCGGGTGATGAAGAGGATCCGCGGCCATTTTCCCTCCCATGCCACATGGTCATGGCTTCCTGTAGGGAGGGGGACTCTCCCTTCAAGCAATAACTGCCTCCCCACCCGCCTTCCTGTCCTCCACGCCAGAAGTCGCATCGACCAAGGTTAGCGTTATCTCTCTTCATACTGTATTTTGTTTCATATTTTTGCGGTTTAAAAAACAACAACATATGGTTCAGAACGGATTAACCGTATTTACATTGAACCTTATGGGGAAATTTGATTCAGGACGCGACCAAAATCGGGTTGCGACCAAATTCGGAGGGGTCAGAACGGATTAACCGTATTTACATTGAACCTTATGGGGAAATTTGATTCAGGACGCGACCAAAATCGGGTTGCGACCAAATTCGGAGGGGTCAGAACGGATTAACCGTATTTACATTGAACCTTATGGGGAAATTTGATTCAGGACGCGACCAAAATCGGGTTGCGACCAAATTCGGAGGGGTCAGAACGGATTAACCGTATTTACATTGAACCTTATGGGAACATTTGATTCGGGTCGCGACCAGAATCATGGAACAAATTAAGTTTATGAACCGAGGTACCACTGTATGTGGGGGAGAAAGCTTCATCTTGACCCATTATGCATTTAGCTATCTGCATAGAGGTTGGGTTTCCCCCAGCCACGCACCCCCCATACAACAGAGCTTTCTTTGCACGCAGTGGAACTGGCACAGCCGCTGTTCAACTACATTAATTAAGGTGCATAAATTAGTGTCTGAATTTGCTGCTTCTGTTTTCATTCCCACATATGTTTATTCTGCATATGTTGTGCTATGTGAAAAGACATTTAATTTGGATTTTATTTACTACTCCGATTTGGTTTCGAGCTTGAAATGAAATGGCCCTATTGATCATGCTCTCTACTTAAAACTGTGTTGATTTCCAAAGAAGAGGAGTGGGTGCTGGATTAGACAGAACTCAACATAGAATTCAAAGGTTTTCACATTTGCAATGCAGTTTTCATTTTGATCCAGAACAGGTCCCTGTTGTGCCAGGATGTACCTTTCTGGACAAAAGTTGTATTGGTGATGTTTCTTTTTTCATGTGGCATCATAAAAAATCACCTAATATTACTTTAGTGAATAAGGGTCAAATCAAGAGGAATGCTGATTGTAGCCAGTTTGGTATAACGGTTAAGGTGCTGGCCTAGACAGCAGGAGACTGAGTTCTAGGCCTGCCTTAGGTGTGGAAGGCAGCTGGCTAACTTTGGGCCAGTCACCATCTCTCAGCCCAACCCACCTCACAGGGTTGTTGTTGTGGGGAAAATAGGAGGCAGGAGTATTAGGTATGTTTGCCACCTTGAGTTATATATAAAAATATATTTTCACAAAATAAGTATTTTTATATAGATTTTTATCATTATATGCATACTTTTACAGTTCCTTGAAGGGAGAAAAACACATAACAGAATTTTGAAGAAATGCAAAAACTGAAGAACTGTATTCCAATCAACCTATTTGTTCATAAACTGCAAGAACATTTAAAAATACTGATCATACCAATTCCATGTACATTCTTACTCATTTTAAATATGAACTGTTATCTATTTAACTAGGCAAAATGAATTGTCATAATAAATGTAGGCCTGACCTACAAAGTAGAGTATGTGTGCATTGCAAAGGGGAGGAAAATTCTCAATGTGGTATCTTGTTAAACATTTTGCACTGCTAATCTTTCCAACAAAATGACATATAGCAAATGTGGAGCTGCCATTTTCAGTGGCAGATTGTGTTCTGTAATGGTTATATTATTGGTATTATGTAGCCTGTATTATTTATCTATCTGTATTATCTGAACTATGGTTGGTCCTCTAATGCTTGAGGCAGCATCTGAAAACTAGCTCTCTCTCACTAACGTTTACTTTGAATTGTTCAAATGGTGACTTATGACTACCAGCTCCAGGCTACAAAAATTGAGTTGACAGCCAGATGACAGCAAAGGATACAGAAAATCCAGATTTTTATATCCTAGATCTGGTAGCCTGAAGTAGTACTATTCTAGGAATGTTGATCCATTTGATTCTGGAACATATTTATTCAACATTTTGAATCATTGATGGGTGTCTGCATTTTTTCAGCCCAAATTTGTTAATCCCAGATAACTCTTCATTCAGCCACTTCACACTGCACAAATGACATGGTAATATTATCATATGAGTCATTCACTTATGACAGAATCATTTCTGCAGGTTCCATGAAATTTATTATCCTTTCTTCCTTATGGGGATTTAAAAAATAGATAAGCTTTAGTAAACCAGTTACTTTCCATCCAATTACTTAGATCAGGGTTTCTCAACCTTGGCAACCTTGAGATGTGTGGAGAATTCTGGGAGTTCACACATCTTAATGTTGCTAAGATTGAGAAACACTGATTTAGAGAGTAGTGTTCTATACATTCAGGTAATTTTGCTGATTATCAAAACAGAAATACTAACAAAGCCTAGTATATTTATTTGGTATAATTTATTACACTCCTGTCCCAATCTCTCTCCAAGCTGCTAAGGGCAACATACATAAAGTTACTATGTTTTCCATGATTTAAGTCCAAAATAACTAGTCTCACTAGCTGTTGGCTGAATTTATCTGGCTTTGAAAACTAAGCAGAATCAGATATCGTTACTACTTGGATGGGATCCTTTCAGGAATACCAGAATGTTAAACTGAGAAGTTGATAAAGGAAAAAGACAATAAAAATACCTTTTTTTAAAATACCTAGTAAAGTACAGTTGTTTCCAGATATACTCCTTCACTTATTACTGATAAGTACCTTCTCACATATATTTTTTACAAATTATTAGTGGTGAAATTCTAATGACTTAATCCCAAGAGATCCTGTAGCACAATCTAAATCAAAATAAGAATTTGAGAATTAAAAGAATAAGCTTACAACTGTTTTAAATGACAGTAATATTTATTAATTATTTATTGCATTCACTATTGCACTTACTTCAACCATTCACTGAGAATGATAAACAGAATTAAAATGAACTCATCTTAAGTAATACACTGAGGATATCAGATATTAATTGTAGCTGCTATCAAAAGTCATGCCTGGAAATTGAAAGATCAGTATTCAATTCATACATCATCAAATCTTAATTGTAATATGACAACTTGCAGATGAAAATGAGATATCATAGATCAAACATCAAAGACATTTTTGTCCTATCACCCTCAAGCACTATCTGTTTCCATGGAAACTTTTCATATATTCAAATGTAAATTATTAAATATTACATCATCAAGCAAGAAAGTTCCAAGAGATCCTTAGTTATAAGTAAACCAAACCAAAGTTTGATATTTTTGTTTTTAATTTGATTGATGGTTCCCTGATATTATTTTTCAGCACCTAAATAACTTTGTATAACATCTATTGCTATATAAAAGCTTATTCAGTTTATTGTAATAAACTCATTTTAATCATTTCTCAATTTTCTTTTCATAACAACTTCTAATTTGTTTCCAGCTTCTAAAAGCTTTTTCTCACAGTTTACTATAGCACTATTCCTCTCTGTATAACCAAATGTATTATGTTGTTCATACGACATAGTTAATTGTTTGCAAACAGTTCTGTATATGGTTATTCCTCTCATGGTATTGTTCATATGATAGAAAATCCAGTTTTCCCACAATTAATCATCTTACAGCTAGAACCTTTCATAGGTACAACATTTTGAAGGTATTTACTATTTAGTCTCGGGTCATTTTGGAATGTTATTTGAATAATGTCCTAGTCTGCTGATTTTCCTTCTCCTGCATATCTTCACTAGTTCATCTCCATCTAGACACACAAGATCATTGCCTGCACAATTGTCCACCCTAGATGAAGATTGTCCTGGAAGCATTGGAAACCCTGGACCTTCTCAAGATCTGGAGGAATGCAACATTTATATCTAATTACAGGTGCAAAGGAATTACCTTTAGTACTGTTGTCTTTAAATTTATCATCTGAGAAATGATGTGCTATTTCATATTTTGTTCCAGAACACTGGAAGGCAAATATGCTTCTCTTGTAGAAGTGGTTTTTCATAGAATAGTGATCTATTTTCCTATTGCTATCACAGGATCACTAATATTATTTTCAATGCCTAGTATGCTCCTATATCAGCGCTGAAAAAGGAGCTATTTAAAAAAAAAAAAGTTGTTGCATTGTTTCTTGCTGTCCTGGAACTGGGATTGGAGGTGGGGAGCAGCTTGGGACACATTTCTGCCAAATAAGAACCCTGGGATTGAAGGAATACTTTTGATTGATTTTAGCCTACTTTGTCTTCCACTTTTATAAGACTTTAGAGAAGGATGTGATAATTTGCACGTAACACCCCCACCCCATTTTCCTGTACTGACCCAGGAATAACCAAACTGAATGCTGTACAGTCACCTGCAGTCTGTTTGGCAAAAATAAGAAAGGTAAAAAATAGACAAAATCAAGACAATGACAAACAGTGCTCAAGACAACAATGTGAAAATCAGCAGGCCATAGCTCATGATCTGACTATCTCCATTATATTTCTACAGGCATGAGGAGGACATAGGTGACAGCAGGTAAGAAAGGCTAAGGATTGTCTCCCTCATACAAACACAGAGACACATTGCAGTTAGAAAGAAATGCATGTTTGCTACTGTACTTTATGAGATTTTCCATCAGCATTGCACCCATATTGCTCTGAAAAGTATGCCATCGCAGTGTGCCATCTTATTTTACCAACAGATATTTTCTTTGGTGTCCTGGACATTCCAACAAGGTCAGTGACTCCTCTACACTCTATTGTTCCATTAAGCCCCAAGGATTTTCTTATCAGTAGCTAGGCATTCCATATTAGAGCTGCAAGACAATGTACAAGCACTAGAAGGCAACAAACAGTACAGCTTTTTATATCTCCTTACTGCCATCTAGTAGCCCCTCTGGACTTTTACAGGCCAGATATAGAATATCTGCTCGTATTACATCTGAAGAATGCTTAATCCATGTCATATCTATACTTTGGCTACTACACCTGGCCCCAGACCCGTATTTTAGGCTAAGGCTAAAGCACCTCAAGATTGCAACACTGAAATGCTATGGCAAATTGCCAAACTACCATAGTGCAATTTTTCACACTTATAAAAACAAAGGAGCAGTAAACTAAGTATATTAAGCTGCTAGTACATTGAACACAGATGTTTGCTGCCCTTCCATTCCAAAAATGCAAAAAAATCAAACCAAAAGCCGGGTTGTCTGTGGGAAAGGGTGAACATATTTTAAAAAAAAAATCCTCATACAACAATCTCTAGCAGTAAAGCTGGTGTCACAATATTTTTAACAGTACAGCCATAGGGTGTGTCTTCTCTTGCTCTTGGTTTGCAGCTCATTGCTAATAACAGAACATAAAATCTCCAGCTTTATTATCCTCATGTTGAAGCAATTCATCTGCATATACAACCATTTAACTGAAAAGAAGATACCTTACTGCTGTTAAGCATCTGTTGTTGTCCTCTTACAGGTTGCGGTCTGTCATGGGTAGTCTCCACAGAATCCTAAATTAACTGACTTTTTATAGTGCATCAGTTTACAACATTCCAGAATGCTGCCCACTGTATGGAAAATACATTTCCAAAATAATCAGACAAAATTAAAATAATCAGCTCCCAGATGGTCTTAAAAGAATTATTTTGATTGCTGATTTGTAGATTTTCCCATCTAGCACCTTTCCAAGTGTTTGCTACAGCCTGATATGTTATGCATTTTATGTGACTAGCAATAAACAATCTTATATTGTCTTACCTTTTGTACTCTTTTGCAAATGACTTCCAAAGCAAGGATTAGCTATGATTACAGTGTTAAACAAACAATGCACATCTTTTGTACACATCATTCTTATAAAAAACTAGAAAATCTGTTATGAGTAGACATTCTTACAGGCATTGGAACACAAGGGAAAATGAGACAAGGGGGAAAATCCCTGTGAGTTCTCTCATTAATTGTTGCACAAGGGGGGATTTTCAAATGGATTATAGAGATTCTGATACAAATAGTCCCCTCTGTACTTACAATTAAATTGGTAATGTTCTCTGATAACCTGTAAGCCACATAATTTATGTAACAGCTATAATTTCGTAATATGCTTTCTGTAGTCCTCAGCTGAGTTCAGTGTTCTTACTAATGCTTCTAACTGCATCAAAAGTCACCATGTGACTAACCCTAAAGTGTCTGCTAAATTGATCCCATGAAGAGAGGCTTTTTCTGGTTTCTTCTTCTGGGAGCTATTCTTAATTTTTAAAAATATGGAGGATAAATAAAAACTAGCTTCTTTGGGGAGACTGGCCCTAAGCTTTCCCAATCAAGCAAAATGTGGATCACTGATCTCTTGGATCTAGCTAGCAAATCAGAAGTTATCTGTCTTCCAGTGACTTCTGATGTAGAGATGCAGACTACTTTTTAAAAAGTTTTTTAAAGATTTTTTTCGAAGGGCAGACTAATCTTCACCAAAGTTGCTATTGTATAAAAGCATTGTATGGGAGTGGGGTTTGGGGTAAACAAAATATGAATTTCATCTCTTCATATTTTACTAATGACCTTCTCCAAGGTCAAGTCAGGTTGGCCGCCGGTATCCATAGCTGAGGTTAAAGATCTTAATGTCCAATTAAAACCAGGTAAAGCATCTGGAGGTGATTTTATCCCCCCAGAATTAATAAGGGAAAATGTAAAATGGAGGTTGGGGTCTTTCAGTCCACTGCTTGATTTCCAACCTGCCCAGAAAAGACAGAGCAAACTAGAGGGAGGGAGTCTCTGGACAGGGCTGCCAGGGCACCTTCACCAGTTTGCCTTGTGATATATGGATGTTTTGTGCCTGACATGATCACTAAGGCAGCTATTTTGGGGCCTGGGCAATACCTCCTCTAACAGCCATTTCCTGAGCCTGCCCATGACATACTTCAGTATAAAATGTGTCTATTGTCCCCTCTGGAAAAAAATGGGAAATCTGTTGTAATTTGCCAGATTACAATGATGATTGTCTTGCCATCTGTTTTATTAATAGAACTGATTTGTTTAAATCATTTTAATGGAGTCAGTTAATTTACCAAAAAAATAGCTAAAATATGTAGTCAGTCATCATTTATTTCAAAGAGCAGAATTCCAATGAAAGGCAGAAATATATGCAATGTAATACAGACTATGCATCATTCTGGACATTTCTCTTTTGTCTAACAGGGCAGGTGTTTTCCAGAAAGATACCTGATACGACACACAAATGCTAGTAAATTTTTCTGTGTAAGCATATACTCTATAACCTGGCAGCAGACACCACTGAATTAGAAGGACTCAGTTCTGAATAGGCATATATAACATTGTTCTGTTTAATCTGGCAAAAATGTAGCTTGTAGCCCATCCACGTGTCTTATTTTATATACCCTGAGCTTAAATTAACAATAACAGTTCCAGAATCTGAAGAAATCATTGCTTAAACTCCTTGAGGCATGCCTTGCCTAAAATTGGATTGCTTTCTGCATTGCAATGAGCCTCCCTTCTAGGGCAATGAGTTTTAGGTTTCAGTGTGTTAGAAATAATCTTCTAGCAACCACTGAATGTCGCATTCTTGTGTGCAGTAATGAGAATCAATTCTACTTTTGTATGATTACTTTATCTATAGAAATGATTTTGCAAGCCCTCCTGTTGACAAGCTCATTTTTCACATCAGCTGTCCTGTAATGGCCTACTCTCCTAGTAGACATCATCTGATCTAGCCCTCCCTGAATCTTTGAAATGCCTGGTGACTGATTGAAATTCAGTGCAAAAATCTAGTCCAACAAGATGTATACACATATAAAAATAAGAAGAACATGCCTAAAATAATGCTTATTATCCAAATGGAATCTCAAGAGCAAAAAGTGAATTTCAGGAAAAGTAAAAATAATTTAGATTAATCAGTTCACTGGTCTGTGTCAAATCAAGACAGAGTTATGTGCTTTGAAGCAGCACCATTGGCTGCTAAAATTAATTTGTTAAAACTTAAATATTAACTTTGCATATTACCAAAGCCTCAGTGTTTACTGAGATAAGTACAAGAATTAATAGAATGCCGAAGTGACTAGTCACAGTCTGAAGTAAAAGCCAACTCTAATATATCTTTTAATTTGTTGCAGTACTACTGCAGGACCAAAATAACATTAGAAAATTAACCAGTTTCAACCACATCGATTTTTAATCTAAAGTTTGTATCCTTAACAGTAGAGAAAACGCTAAGATCAAATAAATTCTCAGTTTCAGTTTTCTCTTCCAATCTTTTAAAACATTCATACCAAGTATATTTGCCTAGTTTAAAGTATTCTTGGTTGCACTGCATCTGCATTTCTTGTATCATTCCTGAATGAGGTTTAGATTTCAAACCATTACAGTAAAAGTTTCTGTAGGAGAAAATACTGGAAATTGACACCACTACTTTTACTGCATATTTTGAGTAGGCATATCCCATGTGATGAAAAATATTGATGAACATCATACAAGCTTATTAAAGAAGGCAATTCTTCATGAATTGAATGAAGTGCTGAGCAGCAGTTCATAACTGATTAAAGTTTTTCTGCCTCATTTCTATGGTGGGAACTGTTCATCAAATTATGTTATGAACACTCATTTCACTCTGATGCTGTAATGCTACCAGTGCTCCAGTGTTTTCTGAGAGGCTTATGCTGTTGTGTTGTATCAATGTTTTCTCTTTTACTTAATGTGGTTTTACAGAATCAACTGCAAGCACTGGGATCCTGTCACTGAGTGACAAGGAGGTTACAGGTAATTATTCCACTGCTTCCCTTCTTCTCTACTTAAATAACACAGCTAAAACTCAGAGCCTCAGAATACAAAAATATATTTTTAAAATCCATAATCTCTCTTCCCATTTCTAAAACATATATACATTTAAACTTACACTTTCTTCCCATTCATTCCTGCCCTTTAGTCAGATGCCCAACAGACTTCTCTGATGCTCAGTTTTCTCCAGAAAGTGCCTTCCTATCCCTACTTTTACCATGTGGCACATCCCAGCCATCCAATTTCCGCCTCACATTTTAATACTCCCCTGGTTGCCTTACTGTTATCCCTAAACCTCCCTCCCCTCACCAGGCAGTAGGAGCTGTGAACTATTGCAACAGAGACCAAGCTTGGATGACTGGTAAGAACATCATATTGTAAGGTTTGTAGACCTGAATCTCAGAAAATCCAAAATCAGGAATTCAGGCAGAGGCTCTTAAAAAGAAAAGAGCTCTTTAATCGGCCGAGTGAACAGGTGGGTGGGCAGCAACCCAAAACACAGGCAGCGAAAGTTCTGGTCAGCTCCACACCCCAACAAGATTTCAAACCCAGTTTTTATAGCA